GCTCACGACCAGCAAGCAGCAGATCCAGGGCCTGGAGGAGAAGTTCGCGATCTCCGCCCAGGAGATCGACAAGGCCAGGAGGATGAGGAATACGGTATATGAGGGGAGGCAGGAGCACCTTTGCATATTGTATGTTTACAGGTGATGGTGACGGTCGGAATAATGAAGAGGAGGACAAGACGGGATGATGTGGTAGGCCAGGAGGACGATGTGGATCATGCTGCTGATGATGCTGCTGCTGCTAATGAGGAGGATGCTGCTTACAATGCTGATGATGATGGTGATGATGATGGTGGTGGTGGAGGTGGTTGTCAAGATGATGATGAAGCTGATGATGATTCTGGTGATGATGCTGATGATGATAATGTTGATGTTGATGACGATGGTGATAACGATGATGGTGACGTTGCTGCTGTTGATGATGTTGATGCTGATGCTGCTGCTGATGATGCGGCTGCTGAATCTTATATGCAGTTGATGATCGGCATGATCGTGCTGCTGCTGATGCTGTTGCTGCTGACGATGACGATGACGATGCTGATGATGCTGATGATGATGATGATGGTGATGCTGATGATGCTGATGATGAGGATGACGGTGATGATGATGCTGATGATGATGTTGATGATGCTGATGGTGGTGATGATGCTGATGATGCTGATGATGATGCTGATGCTGATGCTGATGCTGATGCTGATGATGATGATGATGCTGATGATGATGATGATGGTAATGCTGGGGGGGCGGAGGATGAGGAGGATGCTGATTATGCTGATGGTGGTGCTGATGGTGATGTGGTTGCTGAACTCACTACGGAAGAATGGTTAGTGTTGATCCCCCCTCTGGGGCACATTTTGTTTTTTTTCAGTTGACGTGCCCTTCCCGAGGCTCGCACCTTGTTTTTTGCAAGGGGAAGCTGGTGGTCACCAATCTGTGCCCCTGGCCCCCGAGTTACAACAACGACGCCTCTCACATGAGACTTCCTCACAATGTATGTCAAGCTCGCGCTGTCGCGTTGGACTTTCTTCCAATTGCGCAGGATTCGCGCTTTCGCGTGTGACTTCCTCGCCATTCATTCAGACGCCGCGCCTTCGACATCTAGGATGTTCACTCTCGCTCTGGCCTTTCCCACAGTTTACTTGGGAATCGCGCTATCGCTCGAGCTCTCCTCCTCGCGATTCATGCAGTACTCACGCTTCAGTGACCTGCCTGCTCGACCTGGCCGCTCGGGCCCTCCTTCCCGACCCACCTGTTAGGGTCTATCCGCCCAATTGGCCCGTCTGGTTCTGCCAGGTTTTTTCTGCTCCTAGCCCCCCTCCTGCTAATCCCGTGCTCCATCCGTCTCCCTCCCCCTTCCATCCGTCCTCTCTTCCCTTGTTTCAGGGGCTGCACAACTTCACGCGGCAGCTACGGAAGATCTACCCCCCAAGGGGGTACGATCGAAGACGCAGAGGGCGGGTACGGAGGCGTTAGGATATACGTGTTGAATAGCACGCGAGCAGACAAGAGCGAGCAGTTGTTATTATCATTGTGTTGTCGGTGTTGTTGTTGATGTTGTTGGGCTCCCTTTATATTGCAAAATAAGCATTGTTGATCCCCTCCCTCCGGTGGCTGTTGTGTTTTGTTCAATTGAAGTGCTTCACCTGGGGCTCTCACCCTTTTTTTCCCCAAGGGAAAGTCACTAGGGTCAAACTGCGTTGTTGTCCCCCGGATTACAACACCAACAACAACGGCTCGCGTTTTATATTTCCTCACAACTTAGCCCGGACCCCCGCTCTCGTCTGAGACTTCCTCGCAATTTACTCAGGAGTCGCGCTCTCGCTTGGGACCTCCTTACAATTTATTCAGGGATCGCTCTGTCTGCGTTCTGGAGTCGCGCTCTCGCTAAATATTTGTTAGCAATTTACTCAAGAATCGCGCTCTAGCGTTGCAACTTCCTCAATTTACTCATGCGCCGCGCTCCCGACACTCAGGCACCCGGGAGTCGCGCTCACGCTTAGGAGTTCCTCACAGTTCATTTAGGCATCAGGATCTCGCTGCCCTCTGTGGCCTCGTTGCGGCCCTTCGTGGCCCCCTCGCTGCCCTTCGTGGCCCCGTTGCAGCCCTGCGTGGCCCCCTCGCTGCCCTCTGTGGCCCCGTTGCGGCCGTTCGTGGCCCCTCGCTGCCCTTCGTGGCCCCGTTGCAGCCCTTCGTGGCCCCTTCGCTGCCCTTCGTGGCCCCGTTGCAGCCCTTCGTGGCCCCCTCGCTGCTCTTTGTGGCCCCGTTGCAGCCCTTCGTGGCCCCGTTGTTGCCCTTCGTGGCCCCCTCGCTGCCCTTCGTGGCCCCCTCACTGCCCTTCGTGGCGCCCTCACTGCCCTTCGTGGCCCCCTCGCTGCCTTTCGTGGCCCCGTTGCAGCCCTTCGTGGCCCCCCCTCGCTGCCTTTCGTGGCCCCGTTGCAGCCCTTCGTGGCCCCCCCTCGCTGCCCTTCGTGGCCCCGTTGCAGCCTTTCGTGGCCCCCTCGCTGCCTTCTGTGGCCCCGTTGCAGCCCCTCGTGGCACCCCCATCACTGCCCTTTGTGGCCCCGTTGCAGCCCTTCGTGGCCCCTTCGCTGCCCTTTGTGGCCCCGTTGCAGCCCTTCGTGGCCCCGTCCTTGCCCTCTACGGCCCAATCTGCGCATGCCCTTCGTGGCTCCCGCTCGTTTGCGCCCGTCGTGGCGCTATATGCATGTCGTGGCCCCGTTGTTGCCCTTTGTTGCCCCCTCGCTGCCCCTCGTGGCCCCGTTGCTACCCACAGTGGCCCTGTCGTTGCCTTCTGTTGCCCCGCATTATCTGCCCTTCGTGGCTCCCGCTCGTTCGCGCCCGTCGTGGCCCCATACGCATGCCCTTCATGGCCCCGCTGTCGCCCTTCATGGCCCCCTTCCTGCCCTTCGTGGCCCCGCTGTCGCTCTCGCTCTCGCTATCGCTCGTCGCCGTCGTCGTAGTCGTCGTTGTAGTCGTCGTCGTCGTCGTCGTCGTCGTCGTTGTCGTCGTGGTCGGTCCCCTGTCCGTCCGTCTTGGGGTCGGGTTGCCGCCGGTCAGCGTTGCCGCTGGCCAGGCCGACGGTCCGCGGCCGCCCCGCCGCCTGCCTGGGCTTGGCCTGCAGGGAAGAAAGACTAACCACCCAAAAGGGTATGATCGAAGACGGAAAGTATAGAGGTTTTGGGACGTACACGTTGTTTAACACTCGAGCAGATAAGAGCGGTAAGTCTTAACATGATCATTGTTGTTGTTGTTGTTTGCGTTGTTGTTGCTGCTGTTGTTGTTGTTGTTGTTGCTGTCGTTGTTGTTGTTGTTGTTGTTGTTGTTGTTGTTGTGGTTGTTGTTGTTGTTGTTGTTGTTGTTGTTGTTGTTGTTGTTGTTGTTGTTGTTTTGTTGTTGAAGTCTCATTTCTGAAGACTGGTTATTGTCGATCCCCCCTCACCGGTGCGTGCTGTTATTTCTCAATCAAAGGGTGCCCCTCGACGCTCGCACCCTGTTTTTTTGTCAGGGCAAGTCTTCCTGGTCAAACTGGGCAGCGGGCCCCGCGGATTGCAACAACAACGGCTCCCGCCTGAGACTTCCTCCATTTTTTTCAGGACTCCCGCTCCAAAGACTTCGTCACAATTTACTCAGGATCGGTGCTCCCGCTTGTGACTTCTTTTCGGTTTAGTCAGGACCCCCGCTCCCATCTGAGACTGCTTCACAAGTTACTCAGGAACGGAACTCCCGCTTGAGACCTCTTCGCAATTGAATCAAGACTTCTGCGCAATTTAATCAAGACCCTCGCTCCCGCCAGAGAGCCCTTCACATTTTATTCAGGAGTTGCGCTCTCGCGTGTGATTTCCATGCAATTTATTTAGGAATCGTGCTTTCGATGCTCAGGAAACACGCTGCGCCAAGGACGCCGTCACACTTTACTCAGGAATCGCGCTCTCGCCATGTTCAGGCACGCCGCATGACTGTCCCGCCCGCCCGACCAGCCCATCAGGGGGTCGCCCGGCCGTCGTGGGCTCCCGACCGAGACTTCCTTCAGGAGAGGCGCTTTCTCCTAGGACTTCCTCGAACGTTCACGCTCTTGCCTTCCTGCTTCTCCTCTCCTCCCTCCTCCCTCCTCTCCTCCCTTCTCTCTCCCTCGTCTCTTCCTTCATCCTTATGCCGCTCTGCCCTATACCCTTTCCCTCCTTTCCCTCCCATCTCCCTCCCCTCTCATGCCTCCTCCCCCTCTTTTTTTGTTTTTTTTTGTCTCTCTCTCTCTCTATCTCCTTTTTTCTCTCTCCCTCTCTCTCTGTCTTTCTCTACATTTTTTTTTTTTTTTTTTTTTCTCTCTCTCTCTCTCTCTCTCTTTCTCTGCCTCTAATCAACCGCCCCCCCTCTTCGCTCCTTTTCTCCTGGCGTTTTCCCTCGTCCTTCGTCCCTCCCCCTCCCTTCCTCGCACTCTCCCTTGTTCTCCCCCTCCTCTTTCTTGCAGGGCCCACACCAATTCCAATTGCGGGCACTTTTGCGTCCACGAAGGATTGTCCGCCCGTTTAGGTTTGCCCGCCTGTCTAAGCCCGCCGCCCCCCGCAAAGAGAAAGACTCCCCCCCAAAGGGGGTGTGATCGAAGACAGAAAGGGCGGGTATCGAGGGTGTGGGGAGCTCGTTTTGAATGGCACACGGGGAAGTAAGAGCAGGCTGTCGTATAATGGTTGTTGTTGTTGGGGCTGTTGATGTTTCTGTTGTTGTTGTTGTTGTTGTTGTTGTTGAACATTATTTATTCTAAAGAATAATTATTGCTGGGCCCCCTGGTGCGCGCCCCCCCTGCGCCGCCTAGGCCGCAGCTACATTTTCATCATTTTCGTGAGGAAGCCTCAGAAAAGAGGGTGTGTACAGGATCCGGTTGTTTTGTTGTAATCCGCTTTCCCTTGCAAAAAACAATAGAAATGACATTTCTTGTTCTAATATAATCAAATTTCAAGAATCCCTTGCAAAAAATAAGGTAAAGTGGACATTCGCGCGCGCAAGACGAAATCCTTCCAAAACCTTAGTGTTCGCAGCGATTTTAACATAAAAACATAAAAAACCAATGGTTTTTCAAGA